AGTCGGCGCTGGCAGGATCGCATCTCGGTGCTCAGCTTGTGGGAGGCGCTCACAATTCTGCCCTGCTAACATGAATAGGTTAAATCATGATCCATAGTACATATACAGTACTCATGTCCCGTACACTGCAGTTATAGTTACAATTATCCCCTGCTAAACATGAATAGGTTAAATGATCCATAGTACATAAAATAGTACATAACATGTAGTTGTACTATGGATCATTTAACCCATTCATGTTAGCAGGTCAGAATTGTAAATCTATTGCTGCAGTGCATTCTATATGTAGCACATATACAGTACATATAGAATGCACTGCAGCAGTAGATTTACAATTATCCTCTGCTAATATAAACGGGTTAAATGATCCATAGTACATAACATGTAGTTGTACTACGCTCATTTAACCCCTTCAGCCGGGCTGCACATGGGGTAGCGGATCACGGGATTGAAGGTGAGGGTGCAGGAGCGGGGGGCAGCGACACTCGAGGGGGGGCAGCGGCCTGGGCGTGCAGAAAGAAAAAGCCGTCTATTTACGGCAACCCGCCAAAGTGAGTTTGCCGTCCGTCCATTCTTTCACAGCGGGCGGACGGCAAGTTGTTAAAGAGGTTAGGTAAACTCTCAACTCTTCAAAAGCTATTTCCATTCAGAACAGTCTGGCATTAAGGTGTAAAAAGAGGATTAAAAATACTTTACTAATGCCTGCTAATGCCATCCAGGTGCTGCAGCTTCTTCTCGAAGGGACTTTAGCAGTCAAAAGGCACTGACCTCATCAAGTACAATGCAGGGTCAATAATCCTGCATTGTATGCGAGGACGCCAAGGAACCGCCCACAACCCTGAGGCCCGGTTCCCACCTAGGCGGTTTTCCGCGCTTTCGTACTCGCGGAAAAATGCTCAAACAGGGAAATGCCATTATTTTCAATGTTCATGGTTCCCATCTGGGCGTTTTTCCGCAAGTACGAACACGCGGGAAACCTCCCTACGCCCAAAGAAGTACATGTACTTCTTTGGGGCGTTTTGCTCCGGCGTTTCTCCATTGGGAAACAGCCAACTAGCCCTCGGAAACGTGCGTTTGTCACGCGGGTTTTTTTACCGCAAATCGCGCAACAAACGCACATATTCAATCCGCCTAGGTGTGAACCCAGCCTGAGTGTCAGGGAGAAGTGGAGAGCTCTGTCTGTCAGGGGAGCAAGGGATTAGGTAAGTAAAATTCCCTTTTCCTGATAGCCTAAGCATTTAACTTTTACAGGGGGGGGGGAGCCCCACTGCAAAGGAGGGTTTTTATTTGCCCTAGAGTTCAGCTTCTGTCTGGCAATACCTTTAAAAATGTGGAACCTGAAACTGCCACTCCCAGTTATAGAGACATAGAGGACTTAAAGGGACACTAAACTCAGGAATTGGATCTTAAAAATGTATTCAAGCACTTTATTAACAAAAATGTATCTTATTTGTGTATCACTCGGCTGTAGATATCTAAATCATCTCTGAATTGGTGCCAACTCCTTCGTTTCTTTTGGTGGGGGGCTACTTTTGTTCCCTATGGTCCCTGCGTGTGTTGTAAAGTAGTCACCACTCCAAGTTCACTCTCGTGTTAGACTACAATCTCAACACAAATTAGTAAACTAAACATGAGATTGCAGTCCATCATAGGAGCAACCTTGGAGCAGTGGCTACTTTCAAAACACACACAGGGACCATGGGGAACAATAGTAGGCACCCTCCAGAAGGAAGGACAGAAATGATTTAGATATCTACAGCCAAGTGATACACAAATAAGATACATTTTTGTTAATACTTAAAAGTGCTCGAATACATTAAGATCTATTAACAAAAATGTATCTTTAATTTGTGTATCACTCAGCTGTAGATACCTAAAACATCGCTGAATTTGTGCGGACACTGTCCTTCCTTCTAGAGAGAGTGCCTACTTTTGTTCCACATGGTCCCTGTGTGTTGTAAAGTAGCCACGACTCCAAGGTCGCTCCCGTGATGGACTACAATCTCATGTTTAGTTTACTAATTTGTATTGAGATTGTAGTTCATCACGGGAGCGAGCTTGGAGCGGTGGCTACTTTACAATACACAGGGACCATGAGGAACAAAAGTAGCCACCCTCCAGAAGGAAGTACAGTGACAGCACCAATTCAAAGATGATTTGAGGATCTACAGCTGAGTGAAACACACATAAGCTACATTTTGTTAATAGTTAGGGTACTTGAATGTATTTTTTATAATATTTTCATTCCTGAGTTTAGTCACTTTAAAGATGAACACCGGTTAAAAATGTAATTAACCTCCAAGCCGGCCCATAGACCGATACTTGGAGCATCTCTCCCCCTCCTCTGCAGCGGTCTAAGGTCCCCGAGTCATCACGTTCCATACACTATGTATAGGATGGGAGGACGCTGAGTATACCGGCAGTAGGGAGAGCTGTGGCAGCAGACCAGCTCGGAGGTTCAGGTGAGTAACTTATTTTTGACCCTAGGCAAAGAGGAGCACTTAACCGTTGCAGGGTGGGGATAGCCCCACTGCAAGGATTAATAACATTTTTAACTGGAGTTGTTCTTTAAAAGTACATGGGAACTGTAATGGGCTTTCACAGGGCCTGTGTGCTGTACTGAGGACAGCAAAACCAGTGTAGAACATAGTTGCCATTAAACGGAATCAAATGAAGAGCCCAACAATTCCCTTTACATGTTAGCACCTATGTCCGATGTTGATGGTTGTCACACGGTGCAGATTCCTATTTGTTCCTTCACCTGACAAAACATTGCCATGTATTGGGAGGTGTCTCCCTTGCTGGAATACAGTCTTGTCTAACTGCAACACTTGCCGAACGCAGTGAATTCATAACCTAGAGAGAGTTTAGAACATTCAGTAGATTGAACCCAATATTCTATTGTGTTTTACTGCAGTTTATAGAAGAATCATATGAACAGTAACTTTGTACCTTAACCCTGTTTTTGCCTTCAGGGCCTAATAAGCATACACAATTGTGATTTTAAGAAGAACTCCTCATGTGCAATCTAGAACTACAACTCGCTGTTTGCCAAGTTCAACAGAATTTATTAAATGCTGCAACAATATATCATGTTAACCGATAATGAAAAAATGTATGAACGGATAAGAAAAGAAAATTTGACAAATCTAAACTTCCAAATCTGAGATATAAAAACAAATGTAAACAAGCTCCTGGCTACTGAATTAAAGGAAGCAGCGCAGGGAGGAATGTGGAGGGTGCCCATTGCTAAAACTTCTGAAAATGCTAATTTCCTGGCTAGCTCTGGCTGCAATACCCAGAACAAGCATGCAAAAATGTAAAGCAGATTTAAAGTGAAAAGGTTTTTAATAATGTGATGAGGGATTAGAACCTCATCACATCATCTAACCCTGAGGTTAGAACCTGTCAGCTTTTTCTGCTAGGTAGATGTAACTACCTGTGCTGGTGACTACTGTCACATGGACTGAAAGTGAGAGAAAATCCAAATTTTTAGGTTGGCAGTGGAACAGGAATAGGGAAAAAATCTCAAACAGGAATAGGGAAAATAATCCTACAGTTTTACTGGAATAAGTGTTTCCATTGTAAAAGACAGGACTTCCTCACTATGGAGAAATTTCCTTTTATTACCTGTTGTATCCACAGGACAGGAAGTAAAGGAAAATCTCCCCAATAGGACACTGATGACAAAACATTTGTACATGTTATAACCCTTTCCTGCTTTTGTCAAAGTAAATAAAATGGCTTTTGTTATTCTTCTGATCTGCATTTTGTGCCAGTCAGCAGCTCAGAAAGCATTTTCAAAAGGGGATGACAGCAACAGCAGCCCCCATATTTCTCTCAGTACAAGGTTTCCTTTAAGGTACAACCGAAATCAAATAACACGCTGAAACACCTGTCTTGGAGGAATGTCCATGGCAAGATCCAATGATAGCCAGTCAAATAACAAGCTAAACTTGGATTCTCCCTACCAGTAAAGATAACCTGAAAGGTTGAAGCACTTGGTCACATGATCAGCCACCATGGCATCCCAGAGCCGCAGGTTCTCCTAGACAATTAAATAAAGGAAATGTTATTTCTCTTTAGGTCTATGTTAAGAAACAAAAGTCACATACTGATGAATTTACACTATGGTGATAGTATATCTTAATATATATTATATCTGTCCTCTACCTAGCATGTAAATATAAAACAAATATAATTTCCAGAGAAATACAATCGCTCCTATTGTGTGATTAAAACATGCAGCCACAAGTTAACAATGCTGCTACAAGGACTCACTAGATGGTCAAAAATATTTACTTTGAAAATTCAATCACACTTTTATGGACTAGAAATAAATATCCTGCATGACTTCAAGCCTCCAAAACAAACAAAAAAAAAAAAAAAGAAGAAGAAGGACATACATCTTGCATTGAAAGCCGAACACATGAACTGTATTTTTATTTAAATCTACAGATTTTCTCCCCCTGTGGTACAATCATACTACAAATATTGCTCTAAAACTTGCTCTTCTAACGGAAACAGTAATACATTGTACATATTTACATTTTCATCTGTTGGATTTGTATATATCTAGATATAATTATAGGAAAAAGAATGTTATAAAAATGGGAAGAACTCTTAAAAGCCAAGTCTGCGATGCACTAACATCTAATCTAGCAGAATGTTAAGGACTGTTATGCAAAGGAAAATCTTTTTCTCCCATACATCACTGGGATGACAATGAAATGAAGAAGTGTATTGGTTTAACAAAAACGAGCAGATCTTCCTTCAGACACCTTGATAAATAAAGCCCAGGAACTGTACCATACATAAGAAAATAATGAACTCCCAACTAACAAGAAATGCAGCCTAACATTTTACTGACCCCTTTAACCATATTGATTAATATTTATAATAGAGCAAACGTTGCCACAGGAAATCAGAGCAGAAAATAAGCTTTACTTCTGCCCAACAACATTATTGGAGCATATTTATTCGGACTCTTGGTTGAAACATAGCCCTTATCATAACTGAATATGAAAACGTATAGAAAGGCTTGAACATCACGTCCTCGTTTAAGATTGCAGCCAAGGGTGACGGAGGCACTGGGCTGCAGTAGCCCGTTTCTCAGGGACTAGTTCCAACATGGGCAGCAAGAAGTCTGTAAACATGGTGGCATCTTCTTCAAGCCACTCATATTTTTCTCTGAGGACATCAGTAAGGCCCCAAGGCTTGAGCTTTGAAATGTGCTTGAGGTCTCCTTTTTTTGTGAAGAAATCCTTGGAATATTTTCCAGCTGCAACAAGCTTGCGTGGGACCTGGCCCAACAGTTCAATGATGAGAGCGATGTGGTCTTCATCACGAGAATAATCCTCACCAGAGTGAGGCTCAAACAAGTAATCTCCTGTTGCCAACTCGAAAGCCATGCATGCTGTACTCCAGATGTCTGCTGGTGTATTGTATCCATTTCCGATGAGAACTTCAAGTGAGCGATACTGCCTAGTCTGAATGTCCTCAGTGAAATGCTTCTGTACCCAGCAAGCATTTCCTAGGTCTGCGATTTTAACCATTATTTTATCTGCATTCTGAGGCTCAAGAGGATTTAAGAGGAAGTCAGATGCTGTTGATTTCTCCTCAATGTCGTCCCTTTTGGCAGATGCTGTCCCTTCAGTCAGATCACTTTTTTGCTGTTGGCATGCCTCCTCAGCATTGTTTTGATCGAGCTGCTGATCAGTAGATTGTTGCTGTAGCATACCGTCACCTAAAATGGGGTTGGGACCTTCATCAGGGCTGCATTTTAATGAAGAAGCAGCAGAATCTGATGGCCCGGAAAGGTCTCCGCTGGGAAGGCTTAAACTTGAGGACAATATGTTAGAATTTGTTTGAGAGTCACTCTCATCTGGGGAGGTTTCATCAGGTAACCCATTAGCATTCAGTTCCGATCCCTCATTAGGTGCCAACTTCCCATCATTATCCTGGAACTGGGGAAGGCTTTCTTCTTCTTCTTCATCTTCAACATCCATTCCTATCTCTTGTACCCGTTTCTCTAAGAGCTCTGCCTGGCGTTTCTGCTTTTTCTTCAGTTTCTTCTTTTTGTTTTTTGACAGCTTCACGGAGGGTTTGGGCTGGGGCGCTGTACTCACCACAGATCCTGAAGGAGGAGGACCGCCAGAACGAATCCACTGTGTGGCATCAGAGGCCAGACGTCGAATATAAACATCATTGACGCACAGCAAGATATTCTCTGGCTTGAGGTCGGTGTGGATGATCTTACACTTGGAGTGCAGGTAGTCGAGGCCCTGAAGGACCTGTTGGATGATGCTTTTCACAGACGGCAGCGGCAGTCCCTGATAATTGGACTTGATGATCCATTTCAGCAAGTGGTGTCCGAGCACCTCGAAGACCATACAGATGTGCGTGCCATTGGCTCCAGAGATTTTGAAGTCATCTAGGAGCTGCACCACCCTCTGGTGCCCTGGGTCACTGGAATCGGTTTCCCGGACGGCTCTGAGCAGTTTGATCTCATCCACGGCAGTCTCAGTGTAATGCTCTGCACTTTTCACCACTTTCAGGGCCACAAAATGTTTGGCCTGGAGGTCCCAGCACAGCCACACGGTGGAGAAGTGACCCCAGCCCAGCTTCCTGATAACATGGTACCGGTCGTGGAAGAGGTCCCCGATCTTCACATGGTGGTATCCCCCCTTACAGTAGTCGTTAGGGTCTTCCTGCTCCTCGTCATCAGATCCCAGCATTTCCTCCTCCTCGGGCTCGTCTGACTGAGGCTCGGGAGCAGAGCTGCGCGGTACCGGCTCTGGCTTCTTTACGCCTTTTTTTCCTTTCGCCCGCTTCTTGCGAGCTTGGAGCGCCAGCACTTTCCTCTCCATGTCTAACCGGTCGCAGGAAGGGACATGCGCCGTGACCCTGCGCACTCTTCCAACTTCTCTACTTCCGCCCAACGGCTGCGCGACGTTCTGGCCGCGCCCCCCTCACGCTGTTTCTCTGCTTGAATCGGATCTTCTCATTGGTGGAGGGGAATGGGCGGTCTTGTGATAGGACAGCGATGGGGATCTTAAGAGTTAATGGTGGTCACGGAAGTGTCTGCTTTACAACTGCTGTAACTTGTCTGTAATAAACAGAGCTTGTGCCCGTGTCACTTGACGGGCGGCCTGGGATGGCTGCTGTCCGTATCATAACACGAGGCGTTGTCTGTCGGCGGCCATCTTTGTACTCCCAGGGAGGCGGAAGCACGTGGGCTCAGAGGAAGTTGATGGCTGCTGACAGAGGGCGAAGTAGCCAGCTGTACTCCGGTGGGGAGTAGTCATTAATTACGTGCAGTAAGTAGTTTTGCGTGTGTAGTATGGCAGATGGGTCGGTGACTAAACATGGCTGTGGCTAGTGCTATAGTGAGATTGTTCCAGCCCAGGGTTCCTCCTACAGTTTGGTCTGGGTTTTATTTTAGAGCAATGAACAACCTCTGTATTTTGGCAATTACAGAGGTTTGGTGTCCTGTTACTAATATGGGAGGTCCTTCTCCCACTGGTTATTAATATAGGGTGTCCTGTTACTAATATGGGAGGTCCTTCTCCCACTGGTTATTAATATAGGGTGTCCTGTTACTAATATGGGAGGTCCTTCTCCCACTGGTTATTAATATAGGGTGTCCTGTTACTAATATGGGAGGTCCTTCTCCCACTGGTTATTAATATAGGGTGTCCTGTTACTAATATGGGAGGTCCTTCTCCCACTGGTTACTAATATAGGGTGTCCTGTTACTAATATGGGAGGTCCTTCTCCCACTGGTTACTAATATAGGGTGTCCTGTTACTAATGTCAGGGGGTCCTTCTCCCACTGGTTACCAATATAGGGTGTCCTGTTACTAATATATGATGTTCTACTGGTTACTAATATAGGGGGTCCTTTTCCCACTGGTCACTAATATAGGGGGTCCTGTTACCCTATGGGTGTTCTATCACTAATATAGGATGTCCTACTAGTTCCTTCTCCCTCTGGTCACTGATATAGGGGGGTCTATCTCCCTCTGGTCACTGATATAGGGGGGTCTATCTCCCTCTGGTCACTGATATAGGGGGGGTCCTTCTCCCACTGGTCACTGATATAGAGGGGTTCTTCTCCCACTGGTCATGGATTAAGGGATGTCCTTGCCCCACTGGTTACAAATACAGGGGGTCCTTACTTATATAGGGGTCCTCCCACTGATCACAAATATAAGGAATAGTTCTGGGATGGGCAACTCCAGTCCTTTAGCTGTGCTTTGACTACAAATCCCAACATGCCTCTGTCAGTCTTGCAGTACATCATGGGACTTGTAGTTCCATAACAGGAGTGCCGGAGGGGAGTTGTCCACCCCTGGAGTAGTTCTCTTACTGGTTATAAATATGGGGTGACCACCAGTACAAGGGGGCGCTATAATTTCTCCTGTCTGTGTTTCTTTTCTGGTCATCATGATTTTTGTTTAATTTCATAACTTTTACTGAAAATAATGTTGTGTTATAGAACAGGGGGTGTTAGAATTGATCTGCTCTTGTTGTCGAATGTTTCAGGTAGGCCAGATTCTTTTTCATTTAATATAGTTATAATTTACTGATCATGCTAATGTACTGTGATACATAACAGGGGTTCTCTGAGACATGAAAATTGTATACCTCATTGTTAAAAAGGTTGAGAAAGGCTGTTATAGAGGATAGGAAATCACCTGGTCTGTGTGGGGTGCATGGATCCCAACTGTACCAAATTAGGGACCAGATTCCTTTGCCTTTCTTTTTGTTCTGGCAGTTTATAAATCAATACCAGGGTAAAACACCAATCACTGCTACAGTTTAGCCTTGTTGATTGGAACCACATCGGGGCTACTATTAAAGTGGATGTAAAGGCGAGGAAACATTCTTTTGTTTCTGTTTTGTGACAAAACTCACCAATAAATAAGGAGGGTGAAACTGCTTATCTGGAATACAGACAGCGCTAAAAATCTGTCATGTGTTCTAGCCCTTCCTTTCTTCATCCAAAACTGAAAGCATAAAGTTTTGGCTATAAAGGTTAATAGGGCTCTGGGTGTCCCCAATTATGGTTTTGTAACCACAATGGTGATTTGAATGCACAAATTGTCAAAGTGTATGCTGCTGGTCAGTGTTAATTTTGACGGCAAATTTCAGTTGAGTTTTAGTTTTTTGACTAAAATGCCATTTTTAGTTTTAGACGTATTTTAGTCATCTGAATAGTTTTAGTCGACTAAATCTAATGGGTTTATATGAAGTGTAATGCATTATTTAAAGTAGAACTATGAGGTGAGTGCTTTTCACTCACCTCATAGTTCTAGCCGACAATGAGACTGCCACAGGTCGGCATAGTAGATCGGTAGGTGAGCGAACACATACCAGCGTTCGCTCACTTCTCGATCCTGTCACGGCTCTCTGCCGCGACAGGGGAGGGACTGGATTCCCCTCTCCCCGCTCCGATCCTCCAGCAGAGCCAGCTGTCACTCACGCAGCTGGGCGGATCCAGACATAATTGTCGGGATCCGCTTCAGCTGCGGCATCTCTGTATACCGCCAGCTGTAGCTCGCGGTATACTGAGCTTAGGGTGATGGGAGGAAGCTAGTTTGTGTCCTCCCGTTACCCTTATGAGAACTATGGGGGAAAGCCCTTTTAAAGGTGAACTATGGGGTTAGGGCTTTTCCCCATAGTTCTCCTAAGGGTAACGATTAGGGTCCCGATCTACTGAGCCGACCTGTGACAGTTTCACTGTCACAAGTCGGCTAGAACTATGAGGTGAGTGAAAAGCACTCACCTCATAGTTCTCCTTTAAGCAAGTCTCTAGAATGTCAAAAACTCATTATATTCCTGGGGTAAACCTTTATTACCTGTTATGACTTAAGGTGCCCATACACTGTACGATAATGGCGGGAAATCCCGCGATCGTACGATAATCGCAAAGTGTATGGAAGCCGTGCAACTGTTTCTACTATACGATCGCACGTCTTCCGTCGAACAAGCAGGCTGGAAAACCCGCCGAGAATCGTACGATTCTCGGTGGGGTTAGTGGCGTGCTTGTTCGACAACTGCCCGTTCAGCATTGCAGTCATCGGAAGCCCGCCCCTCAGCGGGGGTGGGCTTGCGATGACTGCAAGTATGATCTGCCTGTCCAAGATGGGCAGATCGTACGTTTTAAAAAAAAATTACTTTACAACCCTCGCAAAGACAAAATTCTTGCGAGGGTTGTACAGTGTATGGCCACCTTTACGATTGCACATGGTTTACAAAGGGTCTTGTTCTCATTAGCATCAAATGTAAAATGGATCCATACTGTCGGCTCTTCTCTTTTGTCCCTGATGTTGACATGTTTGTGCAGCTGGTGTCCCGCTGGGTAGGTTATTATTCAGTTGTGCACTTTACCCTACTACAGGAAGAGCTCAGGGAACCGGAAGTCCAAATGCAATAGTCACTCCCAGAATTTTCCTTTTCGTTTTTGATTCCATTAATTTCTCTTTTACTTAGTTTTCGTTTAGTTTAAAAAACATGCAGATGATGAAAAAAAAATTAATCGACGAAATTAACACCGCTGCTTGTATGGGAATCCATTTTGTCTTATATGCATAGAGTTGGCTTCTTCCTGACATAAACCATAATCTTTTTTTTCTTCTTCAGTGATCTTTATCAAGTGAAAGGTCAGCCATGGCACGGTCCAGCTCCTCTGTCCTTCGTTCGTTAAATGGGCTATTTTCTGTGTATAAACCCCCCGGCGTTATCTGCAGTAATTTGTATGAGACACTCAGCATGAAGTTACTGAAAGGTATGGTCACTTTGTTGGAAGCTCTTGTAAAAAAAATAGGTTATTACTTCTAGTTTAAATTTGTCTAACTTATTTACAGATAACAGTATGATTTTGCTTATTTTTATTTTCATAAATCTTTTCTTGTTTAGACTTGAACTCTCTTCAACATTCATCTAAGCAAAATATCCTTTTCCTGCCAGAAGGCAGTGAAGGCTGCAGTGGGGTGGAACTAACCAAGGTGGTCACATCAGTCCCATCTTTAGTTGATCATGTGTTAGGTTAGTACCTGTCAATATTTCTTTAATGAATAGGCCTTTAAAAGAAACCTAGTTTGTTTGTTTTTTGTCCAGTTTTGTTATTTTAGTTTATAGGCTTTTAATTGTTTAATATGCATGTCTTTTATTTTTTACTGTACGTATACAATCTTTGTTTTACATGTGAACATTTAATACATGACAGGATTCCCAAAGCACTGTGGGTTAGCGAAAAAGATATTACAGCTGTAGCAGCCTGCCTTCTGACTGGCTTTGTCTGATTTGGAAAAAGCTGCCAGTTGAGGTAATTGGTGTGTAAATTGCAGCTTGAGCCTTCTAAACAGGCTTATTACAGTAGACCACTAATCCGTTTCTAGAAGACATGAAACACTGGCTAAAGTTCCACCAGATGACGACAAAATGCAAAATGTTAACATGCAGTATCTCATATTTACTGATTAGAAAACACCAATATTTTTAAGCATTTATTTGGTGTTGCTGACCATAATAAAGAATGCAAACTAGGAAAGCTACGGTATGTTGCCTTTAATAAATACACGTATTGTTGCATAACGGCGGTTTCATCTTGGATATCTTGTCTCATGTTTTGATGGGTTTTACAGTTAAAGGACCAGCTTACACTTCCCTGAAGATTGGAGTAGGGCACATACTTGACAAGCAGTCATCTGGGGTATTAGGTAAGTTACAGATGTCACTGCTTTAGAAGTCTAATTTAGGCAATCTTCCTAAAGTGGAAATCTAGGGAAACGGCTTAATACACAGCTGTAAGACATTCTCTGTTTACTGTTTTACCTGCCTTTTTAGATTTGCAATTTTGTTTAGCTAGTGATTATACACCCCATCCTCACTGCACAGCTAGGAAGACCAGTCTGCTTTACTCCTTGCTGGGTGACTTCCCTGGGTTGTCATTATCCGTTGAGCGAGTGTGTTTTGCAAGATTATATGTGTTTTGTTACATAAAGGCCATTTTGATTGTCAGTGTACACTTCTCAATCGTTTCACATATAGCCTGAAAGTTGTTCTGATAAATGGGACCATTGCTGAATGTCACTACAGCAGTATACGTTGTATCCAACAGTATATGTTGGATACAACACTCTCCATTCGCACATAGATGTGGTATCAATTATGTAACTTGCATTATGGGGCTATGATACAATTTATGGCATATATGCTTTTGATAATAGGAATGATGCAATTGTTAGATGAATTGTTATGATTTTATACTATTTATCCAGTGTGCAATAAACTTTATATTTTTATTTTAAAAAAATCCATGCAGTGATTGTATACCTCTCTTCTAAACCCCTGTTTGCCTATGCTATATGTAGCAGGAAATTTTACCTTGAGTACACTTTTTTTTTTTTTTCCAGACATCAGGGCCATTATTGTTTTGTAACCTTCATCAGCACCAATCTGCTATGCAGTTTTAGTCTGTTGTATTTTACTAACCGCTTTTTTGTTTCTTTTGCAGTGTTTGGAATTGGCCATGGAACCAAGCTTCTCACGGTCATGCATGAGAATCATTATACCAGGGTATGAACACTATATGCCTAAATTTAAGCTGTAACAAAAAAAATTTTTATAAAGAAGAATTAAAAACCCTAATCAGGTTTTTGTTTTTTTTTGTGTGGTCTGTGTCCCATTGGGGATATTTATCTTCACTTCTTGCCTCCAGAGACACAACAGAAAGTCAGGAGAATTCACCTCTTAGGCTGTTGTCACTGGAACAAGTGTGACTTTGAAAGATTTACGCTTAACTCTTGTTCTGGTGGGGTTTCCCATCACTTACCGTCTCTGTGACTTTGGTCTACCTAGCCAGGACAAAGGCAGCAATGAAAAAGTTGACAGGGGTTCTAATCCTGATCTACTCCATCCAGAACTATAAAATATGTTTTGGCTATGCATACACTTTAATCTGTGCAAACTACTCAAATCGGCTGCAAGGAAATTCGTGTGGGCTAATAAAACCCCACGAATTAGTGTAAAAACATTATCGAGACCAAAACAAAAATGAGGGCTGGGAATTCCAGACTTCGAATTGTACCATAAAGCGGCCTTACTACTAAGAATATTGGACTGGATACATGGAGGCCAAAATAAGGGAGGAGTAAAATTGGAGACTGAAACATCCCCCATACCATTTAAGTAAAGTCCCTTGGTTGTCAATAGAACATAGACCCAAGAGGAACACCCTACCCTTTTTTAGTCAGACCAGTGCTACAAGTATGGGATAGGTCCATTACTAAATATAATGTATCTTCTAGACCTGGACCCCTGACGCCTATCATAGAAAATCCTCAATTTCCACCAGGTATGCAGACGGCCCCCTTCTTAAACAAGGAGAGTAGCTCCATGGAGCGACTATGCCAATTTCTAGACATAGGAAAAGATGAGTTGAAAATAGAATTAAGACCAGAGAGACAAATTGATGGGAAACTTTGGTTAGAGGCAATGCAGTTATCAGATTTTATAAGGAGCCTTAGGACCTACAAAACCCTGAATAGGCCACTCACGCCATTTGAGAAGCTGTGCGTGAGTAAAACCCCTATCTCGCATATGTTGTCAGTGGTATATGGCCTGTTGCGGGAGGAAGACGCTAAAGGATATACAAAGTATATGAAAAGGTGGGAACAAGACTTGAGAAGAGAAATATCAGAGAAAGAATGGGTAAGAATATTTACCATGGCCCATGGCTCTGTCACCTCCACATTCCTTCAAGAAAAAAAATGATGAAATTGTGTCTAGATGGTATAGTTGTCCAGAAGGAATTAACCCCTTCATGACAGGCCTTTTTTTCATTTTTTGCACCCATGTTATATTCCAAATTTTAGGCCTGAAAATTACTTAAAACCCCCACACATTATATATTTTCTGAATGCCAAGACCCTATACAATATAATGGTGGTAGTTGCAAATTTTTATGTTGCGCAATATTAGCGCAACTCCTTATTAAACCCCAAAATTTAGTGATAAATTTAATTAAATGCCCCAAAACACAACAAAATACCATTTTTTTTAAATGAAATATAAAAAGATGAGGTTACAACGAGTAAAACGATACCCAACATGCCCAGTTTACAGATTGCGTGCGTCCGTGAAACGGCGAAAAACTGCAGTACCCCAAAAAGTCAATAAAAGACACTTTAAAAGCCCCCACAGGTCATCAATTTAGAGATACCCCAAAATACTGGCCCTAGAATTATTGCTCTCACTCCGGCGTGCGCGGCGATACCCAACATGTGTAGCGCATTCGTCGTTTTCATACGTAGGCGCACACGACGCGTGTTTACGTAGCGACTCGCGGGGGACTTTTTAAAAAATTTTTATATTATTATTAGATTTATTTTAATTTTAAAAACTGTTTTTTTTGTTTTACTTTACTTTGACTGCTATCACATGGGGGGGGCTTAAAAGCCCCCCCATGTGATATCAGATGGTGGTGACAGGTACTCTTTAAGGTGATGCTGGGGGTCCAAAAGACCCCCAGTGTCACCTTTACACTGGAAATAAGCTATTGAAGTGCAGATCGCACTTCAATAGCTGGGCTGCAGGAGCCCAGAACTGACAGCCCAGGGACCGGAAGTGATGCAATCTGCATCGCTCCCGGTCCCATAGAACGGGGAGGGGATCGATGAACGGAAGTTCGTCAACCTCCTCATCAAGCACGCTGGTCCCGGGCCCGTAGGAGGGGCAACAGAGCCCGGGAAGCTAGGCGGCGGTGTCTGGCGGGGGGGGGCTGCCCCTTCTTCGGGACACAGAAGCGATCTGGCAACAGGTAAGTCGCCAGAATCGCTTCTGTTATAAAGCAGACAGTCACGTCTACAAGTTTAAACAGCCCCGATGCTGGCGACGTACACTGTACGTGGTGAGTCACGAAGGGGTTAAACAAATAAACCCAGAAAAATCGGATAGATGCTGGAGGTGTAGGGTTGAGGAGGGGACATACTTGCATATCTGGTGGAGTTGCCCTAGAATACAGCCGTTTTGGGAATCGATATTTGAAATATACCGTAAAGTGGAGGCTTCAAATATTGAAAAGGACCCCCTAATGGCACTACTATCATTGTACCCTGGTCCCATAAAAAAAGATAAAAAATTATATCTTAACATTTGTATTGTCGGCTGCCAGAGTAGGTATATCACGTGGGTGAATGTCCACATCACTACCTACAATAGAGAGTTGGGGGAACATAATGGAAGAAATAAGATACATGGAGGAACTATGTGCAAGGGACGCCGACAGGATGACAAATTATGATAGGGTGTGGGAAAAGTGGGAAGCGTATAGACGACAGAGGAATACAAGAAACTAATAAAAAGGGACAGCAACTTGGAAAGGAACCAGTAATAACAAACGCATATGGACAACAATAGAGAAATTTAAATAATATAATTAATTTTAGCTCTTTCTATATATTAATTGGTAATAATGCATATGACCATATATGAATGACAAGTAGAAAGGTGGAGAAATATCCTTGCCTGGGAAGGAGGGAAGGGCTTGGGGGGGATAGGGGGACACAAGGATAGGAAAAAACCTTAAGGTGGATAAAGGTAACACATTATAGAGTAAACTAGTTGGTTAGATAAAAGGTTTTTGTACGATAATTAAGTTAAGTAAAGATAAGGTAATACATCACTAATAGAGGGAGGGGACAGGGTAGAATGGGATTCACAATAACACTTTGATGCTAGGAATTATAGATTTGTAGCACGGAATAGCACACAACGATTCAATACACAAATAGGGTAGGGAACACAATGACAACACAAGAAATAGTGTGTAGATACACATATGGGAACGATGGAGAGTAATTTTGGAACAAAATGGAAGATGAAAATCACAAACACATATAAAGTAGACCCCCCCCCCCCCAGATAAGGATATGAGTTAGGGTTGTAAGGTGAGAAGAGAGTAGAGGGGGGAAAGATGAGAATGAATGAGGAGATGGAATGGGTAATGTTTGTTATTGAAAGTAATGTTTTTTAGACATTTGTAAATTAGAATGTGTTTTATTTATGTTATGAAATAACAAACATATGTTTACAAGTTCTATGAAATTGGTATAACTGTGTTGACATGAAATAATAACAATAAAAATATATTAAACCAAAAAAAAAAATCTGTGCAAACAGTTAGAGCATTGTCCCTTTTATATTTCATTACGCTTCTTTTTCTTCTAAAGGATTACACAGTTTGTGGTACTTTTGGCAAAGCTACTTCAGATTTTTCAGATGCTGGAAAAGTGATTGAGAAGACAACATTTAGTGAGTGAACACATTTTACCTCCTCACATCTACTGTTCTCTAAAATAGAAATCTAGGCAATTTTTTTTGTTTTGTTTTAAATACATGAAGTAAGAATTATAGGAGAGTTGGAATGCTTACAGGCTTTCTCAGACTCTGACGATATTTCCCTTTACTTTCTGTGACTGGTGCCACCGGGGACCTCCTCAATAATAAGATGGTGATTGAAGCTTGATTAAAGATTCTTCCCTACTCCATCAAAACAAAAATAGTTGTTGTAGAGTTCTATTTTAACAAGATAATCACTTGCGTCTTAAGTTTGTTTTTTCCTTAGTCACCCCCACTTTAATTTTTTCACCTATAGTACATGTTCCCAAGAGGCTGCTTTCATATGTCATAATAATTTACAGTTTTAGAAAACTATAAAAATGCATATGAGCTTTTTAAAACCCTTCCCTCTCGCTCCTTCCCTCTCAGGTTTTTATTGTCATCTGTGTCCTTTGGGGAGATTTTACTTCTTGTCCCAGTGACCGGGTGGGACAATACAAGAAGTGATATAAACTAAAGGACTTTTATTTAGTAGAATGTGCTATGTGTTTTGCCGCTTTTTTTTCTGTCGTAACCTGAACGGACTGCGCACGCGAGAACTGTAGCCCATAAACACATAGGGATACATTGAGATGCATTTTTAGTGCAGGAGCGTACGGATCAGGTCAGCACAGAAAACGGACGTCGTGTGAACAGGCACTCCGGGTTACAGCTCATAAATTCACACATGTAAAAGGGTAACCTAATGGACACCAGAGGGTACTTGATTATCGCAGAAAATAAAAAAGGGACGCATACTTTATTAAAGTTAGCAATAACTGGTCTAGACTATTGGATCTGGAGAATATTCCCTGTTCAAGTATAAATATTCTGTATCATGTATTTTCTGTTCTTTTGTTCAGACTTTACTTCTAAAAATAAGACAAGATCCTCCGTGTACATGGTTCTATTAGGAATCAGGGGGATGGTGTGGGCTGAAATTTGCATGCTAGAGAATGTGGAAGAGTGTGTGTGTGTGCAGCCTGAGCTGCAATAACTATGCATGGGACCTGGCTTAATCTCAAGTGCCAAGCCCCTGCCAGCAGGTAATTGAGGGGGACATAGAGATGGGTCCGGGTGCCTTTTGAGTGTATGCGTAATGTCCTGTGTGTTGTGCTCTGGGTGTATGTGTAACGTCCTGTGCCCTGTGTGTTTTGCTGTGTGCGCATTGTGCCCTGTGTGTGTTTTTGTTTGTGTTGTGCCCAGTGTGTTGTGCTATGCCCCGTATTGGTCCATCAAGAGAATGATGGTTTGTTCCCAGGTACACTCGGTACATCTGTGCACAAGAAGGACAGGATGGAGTGTGGTCAGGCAAGGCAACTGGTGGCGAGTCATTTCTTAAGGCCTGGCTAGTAGCTCAGGACCTGAAATTTTTAACCCTGGTTTACCTTAAAAAAAAAAGAAAGACCTACCCTGAAAATAAGACCTCGTGTGGTTTTTTTTTTGAGCCCCAAAAAAATATAAGACAGTGTCTGGTAGGACTCGGCATTTGGTGAGATTTTATGTAAGGTTAGGAAAGCTCACCAATCACACCATTTATATGTGAATGTAGCCTAAAGGAACTAAAATGCATTAAAGGTGCACTTAGTCTTTCTTTTAGTATTGTCTTCTGAACAATTTCATGCATGCTTTGCAAACTACCAGACTACATTAAAGTGACTCCGTATTGAGTTTCAACTAAAAATAAGGAAGCAGTGTGCTACCAGAAACCATCATGTTGCCAGCGATTCCCCATTGCTGAGTAACTCATTAAGAAAAATAACAAAAAACATGGTATGGGGCAACACTTGGCGCTCTCCCTCTCTGTCAGAATTCAGGCCCCGGTGTTGTCATGTGGGAGGGAGTGTGGTTAGATTTGTGTAACGATCCAGTTTTAGAATGTCGGTAGTCTTATAGGGACTTCAAGGTGCCTCTGGCAGTGGATCAGTCAGCAAGGGAGCACTGGAAAGAAAATATGGACCTTGGGGTGCCTGCATTCACACTGCTGCCTTACTTTTGTAGTGTGTTATTCAGTACAAAGTTTCCTTTTAAAGAGCAACTTCAGGCAATCTGTGAAATCGGTTAATGAACTGATTATACTATCTATCATAACCCAGCAACTCAAAATCAGAGAAGTCCCTTGTGTGCTGTAATATGTGTTCTGTAATCCCTTGCTGCATGATCCAGAGAGCACCTCACAGTGTCAATATCCGTGCACTTCTTGAAGTCTGTGCTGTGTAACTTCAATTCAATGTGCTGTGTAATTTCTTCTCTCTGTTTCCTTCATCACTGATCACATTTAAACTGCTAGGTTACATTAGGCTCCCTGTATGGAAAAGACAGCCAAGGAGCTTGTAGTGGGTGTGTTGGGGACCCCCGCTTCTATGTTACAATCGGGGCTGGTTACATCATCAGGTTACTGACAAAAGGGAATCAAATTCCAAGTACTTGTCACGTAGACTGTGCTTCCTATGTACATCTCAAGCTTTAACTTTCAGCTTTGACTGGAGCATATTGTGAAAGTAATAGGTTTGACCAATATAATGTTTTCCCATTTGTCTCCATCGATACACTTAGATACTAATGCAGATCTTATTATCTTCATAGATCATATCACCAAAGACAAATTTGAGCGCGTGCTTGCCATGATTCAAGGAGTTAACCACAAGGCTTTGATCATGTAGGTACTGCTGCAGATCCGTTCAGTTATCTTATGCTTTCTTATTTGTTCCGAGGAGGATAGATTGTTGTATAATTGCTCTGTTCCAAAAAGAGTCACCTCATATATGGCCAGCTGTTTTCTTTATACGCCACCAACATTGTGTACCCACATTCATGCAGTCCTGATTACAGACTCTGCCACAGCTTATGAAGACCTGTTTTTTTTTTTTGTGCACTGTGAGGGGAATTAATCAAAACTGGAGCAGACAGAATCTGGAGCTGTTGCCCACAGCAACCAATCAGCATCCACCTTTCATTTTCAAACCTTAGCTGAAGAGGGAAAGCTGATTGGTTGCAATGGGCAACTGCACCAGATTCTTCTGATCTAGTTTTGATACATTTCCCCCTAATGTGTTTCAGAACCAAATGTATCTATATAGATCATGTGATTTAGCATAGGATGGGTTTGTAATTGCAGGTATGATGCAAAAGGCATTTTAAATTTTAAAAATGCATTCAAGTACTTTAATTATTTACAAAAATGTGGTAGTGACTACTTTACAAGACACATGGAGACCATGGGGAACAAAAGTAGCCACCCTCTAGAAGGGACAATTTCGGCACCAATTCAGAGATGATTTGAGGCTCTACAGCCGAGTGATACACAAATAAGATAAATTTTTCTTAATAGTTCGGGTACTTGAATATATTTTTTAAGATTTATCTCCTGAGTTTAGTGTCAGTTTAATGTTTTACACTGGCAAAAGGCAGGCAGATCCCCTTTGACAGCTATGTTAATCTGCCATCTTGGAAGAGACTGACTAACTAGCACTTACCAACTAATAATTTTTTAGAACAGACTTGCTTTACTGCACACATGTCACATTTGGTTTTAAATCGCAGTTTTTCAAAAAGTACATCTGCTGTAAGACATAAGTAACCTTCGTGTCCTTGTAGTGGTGCTTGGATTCTAGGCTTGGATTTGTACACAAGGACTTTTTGGCCGTGTCATTGCTAGCATCCTCTCCCTCCTGCAATGAAGCCACACTCCCTGTCCTTTTTTAAATGTGAAATGGCAAAGCTTCCCATGCTCTAAGACTCAGCCATATAACAGTTGTATGAAAGGTGATGGGAAGCTGTCGGCTGATTGGCTGCAGTTGCTGTGCGGTTGAGAGTTTTCAGGCTGGAAAGTAAATTAAAAAGTCGTCCTCTGTCGAACAAAAGGGTTCTGGCAGACCCAAGCACTGGGTCAGCAGGGATCAGCCAAAATTCGAGCAGTGTATGGCCAGCTTTAGCGTTAGCTTGGTCAATAATGAAAGTTCTTGTAGTTTATACAAATCAATATTTAAAGGAGAACTATGAGGTGAGTGCTTTTCACTCACCTCATAGTTCTAGCCGACCTGTGACAATGAGACTGTCACAGGTCGGCTTAGTAGATCGGGAGGTGAGCAAACAAATACCGGCGTTCGCTCACCTCTCGATCCTGTCACGGCTCTCTGCC